AAGGCAAAATGACCAAAGACTTCAAAAGAGACTTGGTCAAACGATGTACCAAACCATGGGTTGAACCCCATCACCGCTGGCAGCCACACAGGAGTGGCTTTCAATGCATGGCATGTGGCACCAGGATGCATCAAGGCCTCACCAAGCAAATCCTGGAAACGAGGCTTCAAGAGGAATGCCCACAACTCCTCCTTGAGGAAGCCTGCCAACCCTCCATGGCTCCAACGGCAATTCCTGTCAAGAAGACCACTCGGGCACAGGTCATCAAGGACTTGCTAGCACAGCAGCACCAGACACCACCGAGCCAACAGGAGCACCACTATGCCGAAACCACAGGCTATCTCAAATGCCTGAAGCGTGGACTCAACATCCACAAAAGAGTCAATGAAGAAGCATTTCAACTCTTCATTGCCAGCCCATGCGTTGACCAGGCTTTCACTGGCAACAATCCAGGACACCACAGCCACGCACTTTGGCAGAAGGGGGACCGTCTTCGTTGCACTCAATGTGGCACCCAGACCAACCTTGATGGAGAGAAGCGAGTCATCTCCACACAAGCCCTCCAAAGACCCTGCAAGGGCGCTGGCATGAAAACATCCCCGCCTCTCAGCGACTACTTCAAAAAGAAACCTGAAGGAGTCTGCGCACCAGACAATGATAGCCAGCCACACACACACGGCCAGGCACCTGAGGCACTCTCTGCTGCCGGACCAACGCCTCGACGTTTGCACTTTCCCACCTTGCTTGATGCAACGGCAGAAGCAGACCATGACGAGGACATGATGGCCGTTGACTTTTTCTGAGGTCGTGAGAGGCCCACTGAGGCGAAACCGCCTAGGAGACCAGCCAAAGAGCACCAAGCACAACAACTCTAGGAAAAAAATACATACATACATACATACATACATAAACCTTGAGCCTCTGACCATAGGCCAACTCTCCAAAGTACTGCCTGACAAGGCAAGCGGGCCGGATGCGGTGTCCACTCAACTGCTCAAGGCGGCTCCACCTTTGTCCTTGGCACCACTGCTTCAACTCTTCCGACAGATGGAAGAGCAGGCTGAGCTTCCGACCCAAATGCAGATGCATATGGTAGTGATGTTACCAAAGAATCCAAGCATAGAACGACCAATCACCTTGACATCCACCCTGTGGAGAACTTCGTGCCGCCTCAGAAAGCCCCTCCTCGATCAATGGCAACGAACTTTGCCAAAGGACATGGGCCATGATCGAGCCAGACCGGGTGCCAATGTCCTCTATGTTGCCTTGGAGAGGCTCATGCGCCAGGAGGTCCATCGAGCTCGAGGATTTCATGGTGTCACGGTGCTCATGGATATGTCCACCTTTTACGACACCATCCAACTCGATCGGCTACAACAAGAAGCCATCAAACTGGACTACCCACCACTGCTTTTGGAGTTGGCAATGCAGCTGTACACTGGCCCCAAGGCCATTTCGGCTGAACAGGAGTTCACGCCCTTCTTCAGAGTCGATAGAGGTATCCCTGCTGGATGCCCTCAAGCTCCACTCCTAGCAAAGGCAGTCTTGGCTCCCGCACTGGTCCCTTGGAAACAGGAGCACAAACAGATCCATTTGTCCAGCTGGGTGGATGACATTGGCTATGATACCCATGTCTTCAGGTAGCCACCAGAGCAGTTGAGGCATATCGAGATTTGCGTGAAAGGCTTGGTTTGGCCACTGACAAGGCTACAGATCGAGCGCTCAAAGACCTGCTACAACCACATGAGCCACAAGTGGCTTCAGTGATGAGGGACCTTGGAGTTGATCATCAAGCGGCCCGGAGAAGGAGGATCCCGGTGATGAAGCAAAGATTTTGCTAAGGCCCATCAACGCAAGCTCAAACTTCGAAGCCTCAAGATTCCCTCTTTGAAGGTTCGACTCAGACTGCACAAGGGTGGCATTCAACCAGTGGCGCTTTGGGGACTTGAAGCAGGATGGCACTCCGAGCGGCTCTGGCTACTCAGCTCGGCCACCACCAAGGAGGCACTCTGGATGCCACCTATGATATCCACAGCAACAAGTACATGGATCCGGCTGACCAGGTGATCATACATCACATCAAAGCTCTCCACACCTTGTACCATGCTTGGCCAACAGATCAGCTTCCGCACTTGGAGCAAGCTTGGACCATCATCCACACTCAGCTGACAGCCAAGTCCCATCCCTGGTACACAGTCAAAGGACCGATGGCTGCCACCATTGCTTACCTTCTGGAATGGCAATGGCAGGCACAAACACTACACCGTTGGACTCGGCCTGCCACGGACTACATGACTGACAATGAGATCAGCCTGCAAGACCCTTGGTGGAACCTCGAGAAGGCACTCCTCCGAGAAGCGGCCAGTCAGCGCACCACCAGACTTGCACAGAGACCACACCATCAACACTTGCTAGCTGGGTTGGACTGGCACGTGTTCCGGCAGCTCATCAAGAAGATGCCCAAAGAGCACCGCACCTTCCTCAAGACCTGGGTCCAGGGTGCCATCCACTTTCGTGAACAGGGCAAAACAAAACAGTGCCCCATTTGTGGAGTACCGGCGACGTGTGGATGTGCAAATGGCACCACGGACGTGGTCACAAACCAATGCCGCCGGAGTGGGCAGAGAGGCTCACACAACATGATGAAGAACCCTTGTGGAATGCAGGTTGGATCCCACTTGAGCCTCAAGATCATCGGTCCATCCAGCATCCGTACCAGGGTCATGGTGTATGGCAAGGGTTGCAGGTCCTCCAATCCCACCAGTACCAAGGATGGGCTTTCACGCTCGACGCCACCCCGTCCACATACGACCTGCGCAGCCAGCTATGGGTGTTTGGACTATGTGTGCATGTCTTGAGCGCTGGACAATTGCAAAGGCTTGGAGCACCCACAGACCAAAACCAGGGCCTTGATAGCGGGACTGGCAGCTCTGGCCAAACACACAAGCACACATGTAAAGGTCATCGTCCAAGTTGCTGCAGTATGGGAGGCATGGACAAATCCCAAGCACAGGGACCACTACCAGGACCTATATCAGGGACTTGCAGCTGATGATTTTCAGAGGATCACAGTCCTTTACATCAGCAAAAAACACACGTACTCCTGACACTCCTGGCAATGAGCCACATCTCAAGAGGCGGCAAAGGGATGCTGCTTTGACCGCCTGGGAGAGGGCAAATCACCTTCACGATCGCAAAGCCACAGCTTGGCAGGCCGTCCTTGATCAGGATCACGAGACCATCTACAGACATGCAGCAGCAAGGCTCGCCGCAGTGTTTGCGGACAAAGAGCACTACCTGCGCCAGAAGGCGCCAAGGAGCCAAGGCAAACAAACCAAACAACACAAAAAGCAGCTCGTCCAGCATTGCCGCAAACCATGGCAATCTCCATACCACCTGTGGCAGCCACATCGGAGTGGCTATCAATGCAGTGCCTGTGGGATTCGAATTCATCAAGCACTTACGGCTTCAACCATAGAAGAAAGACTCGAGCAGCCCTGTCCACAGATCCAGCTGGATGAGGCGCACCCTGAGCATCACAGCCCACATAAACCGATCCAGAAGAAGATCACGACGGCCCAGGTCGTTGCCAAGTTGCTTGAACAGCAAGCAAACCAGCAGCCAGGAAGCCAACACACCCTGGAGGAGACCAAGGGCTATCTCAGGTGCACTACCTGTGGCCAGAGCATCCACAAGAGAACCAATGAAGATGCTTTCCAGGCCTACGTTCAAGGTCCATGCATCAACCGTCTCTATGACCAAGCTCACACGGGTCATCCCAGCCATCTGCTCTGGCAAAAGGGAGACAAACTACACTGCAAGCACTGTGGCGCCCAGACCAACATTGATGCACAGCACAGGCCGATCATCAGGGCCACTCTGACGAGAAGCTGAGATTTTCAAGCGAAAGCAAGCACAGGCCACCCAGGCTACTCCACAGCCTACTCCTGGGCAAGCAGCTCCAAGCATAGGGGCCATGAACCCCAGCCAGCACTGGAGGCTACAGCTGAAACAAACACCTCAGGCATTCTTTCGCCTCTTGCACCACGTCAGCTCAATTACAGTGCAGTGCTCACACCACCGCACTCAGCACTTCCTGCACCACAGCTGCGCAGCATCTCGCTGGCTGACACAGGCCATGACACCCAGTCCAAAGGTCAGCCAGCAAGTCAGCTGCCGCTTGAACCACAAGCCGGGCAACCGCCTCCCTCCAAGAGGAGCAGAGCCCAGGCAACAGAAGCAGCACAGTCCTCTGACATGGAGGAGTCGGAAAGCTCCAACGAGGCAGACCCTGAACTGGACGTCGACTTCTTCTAGAAGGACAACAGCTGCGGGTAGACACCTCAGGCCAATGAGCCTTCGTTCAGCAGCAAAAGAGGCTTTAGGAAAAAAATACATAGATACATACATACAGACATACATACATACATACATACATACATACATATGTATATATATACTTGTGTTGTACATAAAACACATATATGTATGTATATGTATATGCACAGTGTTTATACAAGGCATGTGACATGGCCTCTATGTGTTTTACCACGCTATTGTACTGTACTGTGGGCTTGCCTCAGGTGCCAGTGTGGTCAAGCTGACTCAGCCAATTGCTCGTCCATGACAGCTTTGGTTCCAAGGTTCAGCAAAGACAGGAAAGTATGGAAATATGGAAAGGGACATGAGGATAGATGCAGGGGAGAAGGGGCATTCCGAAGTTGTCACGATGAAAAAACAACATTGCCCAGAGTGTCCTTGTGGGGTTGCTGTGTTGTAGCCGGGGCCCTCATGAAGAGAGAGAGAGGGAGAGAGAGGTAGAAACTGTCTTCACACGACAAGCCTTTTGCATTGCATCGCGCCGCGAAAACGGCGCCATACCTGTCAAATGGTGGTTGTGTGGCAGTTCTTGCCGCCCAAAACCCCCATAGCTGTGGCATTTGTATAAATCGCCCATAGACACATCAAACGCTTGCAGCTGGATTTGTTATCAGCATCCAATGCGTGGCTTGCATTGCGCTCGCCAATGCCAGGCGGTCAATGGTATTTATGTAGGGTTTTTGAGTCTTTTAACAGTAACATGTTTGCTCCCAGGCTGTTCGTCAAGTTTTGCCGCGAAGATTGCGTGAAGGATTTGACCACCCACAATGGCCACAATGGGTTAGGCAGAGCAGAAAGCTGGCAAGTTTTTGTTGCCGAACGGGCCACGGCCATGCACAATTTGTTTGGGATTTTGTGAGGTGCAGGTGGCACACCACCAAAAGCCCTGGTTCCGAACTTGAGGCCAGGAGTTGCAGCTCAACATGCAGTGGATAAATAAATACATATATATATAATATATATATATATATAAGTGATTTGGCTCAAGCTGTTTCTCCTCAAGCTGAAGCCTGCAGATAGGATGCGGCGCACATACGAAGTTTGCCATGGATGCCAGCAAGGCTGGATCTGGCAGGACAGACTACTAGGCCGCCCAGGTCTTAAATGCAAGCATTGTGGCACTGCATGGACCAACCGCAAGCTACCAGACCTCAAGAAACGAAGAGTCACATGGGCACCTTGGAATTTCAACAACCAAGGCGCAAGATGGCCACATAGGTCCTACAAAGACACCTTGCTCGAACCGCCGCCAGGATTGCAGGGAGGACAACCCAAGAAGGGAAAGAAGCCCAAACCAGGTGTTCTCACCAAGACCATCCAGGAACATTGGGCCCAACTTCCTGAAGCCATGAGGACGCAATGTGAAGCACTAGGCCTGGCCACTCCGGCCCCGCCACCGCCGCAAGATCTGCCGACGCTCATCAAAGAGCATTTGCAGAGTTTGCCCCAAGATCTCAAGGCAGCAGTCGAGAAGATTGTGGAGCCTGAAAAGCCGGAGCCTACTTTAGCCTCAAAATTGAAGCAATCGGTGGGGGCATTGCGTCAGCTCACCGACAAGAAGGCCGCCATCCAAACAAAAGCAGATGCAGTGAAGAGCCAATACACGACCCTGCTTCAAGAGCTTAAAGAACTGCAAGGCAAGATAGAGGCAGCTCAGAAAGATCTGCAACAGGCAACTTCCATGTACAACCAACAGCTTGAGAAGGAGAAACAGGCAGCTGATGAATCCAACATCGACCCTGAGGAACTCACGCCGGAAAACCTCACGGCCATCATGGCCAGTGTAGGAGTCATAGCGACTCCGGCACAGATCCAAGACTTCGCTCACAAGCTTGGAGAAAATGTGTCGCAGCCGGAAGTGTGGGTAACAGGGCAGTTCATCAAACAGCAATTGAGGGTGAACAGAGGGACACATATGCTGCTGACAGTGCACATCAAGGGGCTCATGATGCAATCACTGCTGGCACATATGCAGGTTTTGGCTCAGACGTCTCGATGGCTGAGCATGGGGAACCATCACAACATTTTGCTGTGATGATGAGGGAAGCTTCCAACTTCCCGCCTTTTTGTGGAGGAGCCAATGACCAAATACATGAGGTCATGGCAGATGAAGAGATGGCAGGCACTTCGACAGACGCAGTTGAGAACATGGTTCAGTCCCCGCTGGACTATGTGCTCCAAAATCTGCAGATTCGATTGGGAAATCCTCGTAATCGCTGTTTTGCCAATGCCCCATTTCGTTTGTGGTCATGGGCTGGCAGTTTCTTGGATGGCCCAAAGATGTGGAACCGCACTACAGCTGCCGTCATGGCAGCTTTGACAGATGACGAGGTTGTTCAGATCACAGATCTGCCGCCTTTGACCCAGTTGTGGAAAAAATTTGATGACAGAGTACAAGATGATGCAGCACAGTTTTTGTCTGAACTGGTAGCACTGGCAGAACCGCAGCAGGTCATCACACATTGTTATCATGTTGACCACCGACAGCAAGTGCATCATCGATGAGAGTTCCCAACTCATCTCATTTATCCGGAGGATGGGCCACAAGAGTTTGAACAGCTCATCAACAACTGGGCAAACACCTCCGATGGCCAGATTCTGGACGGATCCGGACTGTGGGTTGGCCAAATTGGCCGATACAAATTGGCTGATGGCATTTGGACCAAACACCACCAAGAGTTGCAAGTTCCTTCCATTTTCAACTTGCCGATCACCACGGATGGGCAGGCGACGAGAACGGAACAGTATTCACTGATTGGCTTGCTTTGCCACTCAGGCACAGAGCATCAAAGTGGGCATTTCTTTGCCATTCTGGCATACAGAGGATTGTACTGGCTGGTTGATGACGGTGCATTTCCACGGCCCATCACACAGCTGCAAGCGATGATGAAAACTCAAATAGTGCAAGTTTGGGCTATGCCGTCCAAGCTTTTGCTACCAGATCGCATACCACATGATTTGGACATCAAAATGTCTGAGCCAGCAGATCTGGAGCACAAACCCAAGAGGCAATGCTTGGGTGGTCTCAAGTTTGACTTTGCCAATGTGACGAGCTTAGGACCAGGTGTGAGGCAGTGGCTCATGGGCCGGACCAGAACCCCGGTGTTTCTCGCGGAAACCCACCTGGCTCAAGACGATCATGAGAAAATGCTGCAATGGCTCTCCACCAGAGGTTTTGGAGTCATGGGCCAAGCGGCTGCACAGAGTCCCAAAGGTGGCACGAATGGTGGCTTGCTTCTGGTGTTTCCAGCGCATTTACATTTTCATTTTGTGCAAAAGCAAATCATTGATGGCTGTGGCTGGTTTGCAGTTCACTGGACTTTTGGAAATTTTGATCTCATCGTTGTCATGGTCTATTTCAAGTGTGGTGAAGGACTGCAAGGAGCCACCAACAGTTTGCTGTGGTCAGGACTCATGACCTTTGCCACGGCCATTTCCAAGCCGCTCATTGTGATTGGAGATTTCAATATCACTCCAGAAGAGTTCATGAGCACCACCATCGGTACAGTGTTGCAGATGCAAGTGGTAGCAACAGGAGAAGAAACATGTCAATCTGGAAGAGAACTTGACTGGGCTTTGGTGACAAACTACCTAGCTGCCGATGTCAGGATCAAAAATGATTGGTTTGTTCCTTTCAAGCCGCATTCTTTGCTCCATGTTCAGTTGGACAGGGACGTCACGGATGTTGCAGTACAACAAATCCAGAGATTTCAACCTGCGCCCAAGCTTGAGCACATCCAGATGGAATGGAGTCAGATTCCCAAGCATGAACCGGCGGTGAAATGGCTCCATCTGGACACCAATGACATCTCGCAAAAAGCAGGCACTTTGTATCACAAAATCGAGCGCTATGTTCTCCACCAGCATGAACGTCCAACGTACGGCAGAGGCACTCAGCTTCAATACATACAGAAACCGCTGGCAGATCCAAGCAAACCCTGGATTTGGAAGCGTGGGGCCCTTGCTTTTTGGGCTCAAATTGAAGTGAGGCTACAACAACACCTGCACAGACCCAACAAGGCAAGTGGAGTGATGCATCATCTTGACCGCTTGGGCTGGCATGTCCATGAGAACTGGCATCCGGATGCCAATGTCACGCTGGATGGTTTCATGCTGCTGTATCACATGTTGAACAAAGAGCATGATGACGAGCATGTGCAAGTGCTTCTGAAGTTCAGCAAGGAGCAATGGAAATTGCACCAGGAAACCACTTTCAGTACTGAAGCTCAAGAGTACAGGAACTGGATGAATGCAGCCAGCAAAAAAGGCTGCAGAGGCCTTTTCCGGTCGCTCAAGAAAGATGAGATGCCCTACATCCGACCTTTCCAACATCTACCCCGACAAGAACGAATGGCACAGCGAGAGGCCCAATGGGGCAAGATTTGGCAGCTTGCCGATCATGCATTCGAACCGAGCACGCTGCAAGCTCTCATCTACAAAGGACAGCAGCAGGCAGTAGAGTTGCCCGCCATACACATCCGTCATGTATGGCAGTTAATCCGCAGACTACCACAAAAAGCAGGCGGCTTAGATGGTACGGGCTTTGATTTTCTCCGTGAGTTGCCCTATCAAGCCATGCCGGATCTCATTGCACTTTTGCAAGACATTGAACAAAGTGGCACCATTCCAAACCAGTGGAGTGCTTCACTCATAGCTCTGTTGCCAAAAAATGCAGACATTGAGAGGCCCATCGCACTTGTGGCCACGCTTTACCGGCTATGGTGTCGCATCAGAGCAGGACAAACCAGACAATGGCAACAACAGATTCAGGACACCTATGTATGGGAGAGAGCTGTCCCTGGCACAGAATGCCTTCAAGTTGCACTCAAACGAGCATTCATGACAGAGCATCATCATGCACTCAAGCGTACAGTGATTTCTGTTTTGCTGGACATGTCAAATTTCTACGACCGCATCAGTTTAGAGAAGCTCTCCCAGAGATGGTTGGATTCAGACTATCCAGCAACACATGCAGCACTTGCGATGCAGATTTACTGTGGACCAAGGATTCTTGAAGCTGAAGGAGAGGCCTCCAAACCGCTTTGGGCTACCCATGGCATCCTCGCTGGAGACCCACAAGCACCTTTGGCTGCCAAAATCTATCTGCACAACGCTCTGCATGCTTTCTCCAAGAGATATCCACAGCTCCACATTGACCTCTGGATAGACGATTTGAGTTTCGACATTGTGGACAGGGATCCCGGCAATGCTGTCCGGATTGCCATTGCAGCTTTCAACTACATCAGAGGTCTGCTAGAGGAAGACAATCTGATGATTTCTGCAAAGAAGACAGGATTTATCGTGTCAAACACCATGGCCAAGAAGCTTCTTTTGGAACAGCTACCACCACAAGGACCCACAGTGCATGACGTGATGCGAGATCTAGGCGTCGATTGCACCGCAGGTCGCCTTAGGCGCATTGCCACAATGAAGGCAAGACGCCGGAAAGCAGGACGGAAGACCAAGAAGTTGCAGAGTCTCAAAATCCCACAGAGAGCCATCAGACTTCGTCTGTACAAGGGCAGCATTGTTGCGGGCATTTCGTGGGGCCACCAGGCCATGGGACTAGCACCACAACTCAGGGCACGGCGCAAAGCAGCACTTGCTCGGCAGCTTGGTTTGCAGAAGACAGGCAATGCAGACATCATTTTCGAGATGCACAAACAACACCAAGATCCAGACTATGGTGCCTTCATGGAGCAGGTGAAAACCTTTCAGCATTTTGCTGGACGGTGGCCAGAGAGTCTTCGCAGAGATCTTGAGAAAGCATGGAACAGCCGCAGAGAGCGACTTGATCAGGCAACCTATCCTTGGCAGGTTGCTCGAGGTCCGGTCGCAGCTTTGCAATGCTACCTGCGTGAAAGAGGCTGGGCACATGAGCAATTTCATGAGTGGACAAAGCCAGCATGCAATGGTGAAGACGAGTTCAAGATCAACCTGTCAGATCATTGGCTGACCATCCGAGATGAACTCAAGCGTGCAGAGCAGAGTGATCGGCTGCAACGCCCCAACAAGAGGAGCATGCTGCAAGACATACAACATCCTCTTGACTGGCAGCCATGGAAACGCATGGCGCGAACACTCAACAAACAAAATGCCTTGGCCTTGCAAACATGGCATCAAGGTGCACTCTTCACCAAATACAGTGACAGTCAAGAAGGCAAGTTCTTGACTTGCCCACACTGCAACCAGCCGGCCACAGCAGTTCACCTGATGTGGCTATGCAAGCACACCCAAAGTGCCTTTCCGGCCCTACATCCCGATGATCAGTTTGAGCTGGAGCATGGGCTCAACCTGGAGTTCTGGGCTCAAGGGCTTCTGCAAATGCCCCAGCTCAACCAATCTACAGGAGGACCTTCAGTTCAGGCCTGGGGCACATGGACCACTCAAGATGAAGCCCGCATCCAGCATCCAGATGTGGTGACCATCGGAGTGGCCAGCACATCAGCAGACGCACGCATAAAGCATTTTGCTGTGGCAATCGTGCACCACACACAAATTGGTGGCCAACTGTACCGACAAGGAGCAGTAGTGGCCATTTTGCCCGGCAAACAGACATGGGAGAGAGCATGGCTGTACGGGCTACGCATGATAGCTCACTATGTGGATGTACGGCAACGTCAGGTGGTGCATGTTCAAAGCACAAGAGCCTGGCAAGCATGGCAACAAGGACAACACAAAGACAGCTTTCATGACATCCAGATGCACGTCATGCATGACCAACGAATGCAGATCAAGGCCCTCTGCATAAACCCAAAGCAGCTCCGAGACCTCCCTAAGGGAGAGTGGACACTGCGCAACAGAATGGCTGATGCGGCCAAAGCTGCTAGAGAGGTGGCGCTATCACATCAACCTAGAGAGCAGGAACAAGAGTTGGCTTTGCAAGACAAGAAGTACCAGAGAATAGCTCCTTTGGCGATTCAGCGGGTGAAGCACTTGCTGGAAGACAAATCCCACTTCCTGCATGCCGCCAGGGAGCAAGGGAAAGAGAAGCGCACCCAAGCACGAGAACACAAACGAGAGCTTTACAACGGCCTGTCAGGCCAAAATAGGCCTGATGGCCACAATTGGCAGCCAAAGGGCACTAGTCAGCAGTGCACACTTTGCAAAACAAGGCTCACGATGCATAACAGCACACAGGACATTGAAGCAGGGCGCACCGGCATCTGTCCTCAGGCCACCAGCCCACCCATCATTGGTGGCCAAGCAGCTTTGCACGACAAAAGCCAGTTGATCCGCAGCATGGTGGAAGGCACTGTGCCAAACATGGCTCCACACCAATTTGTGGTCCAGAAACACTACATTGTGTGTGAAAGATGCAGCCAACGTCTTTTGAAAAACTCCTCCCAAGCAAAGCTGACGGAGCTCAGCTTGACTGCATGCTGGAATGATCCCTGGCCCATTCCAACGACATGGACTGGCCACAGATCTCACCAAATGTGGCGGAAAGGTGCAAAAGTGCATTGCACCCAATGCATGGCGCATGGAGTACACAAGGGTGGACGCATCGAACCAAGCAAGCAACTCACCAAAGAGTGCGGCAAGCAGCAGGGAACCTTGCCTTTGTGCTTCCGGCCCAAGGCGGCCGCTGACTAGACCAGAAAAGGAGTGCACAAAAAAAAATATAAGTGATTTTGATAGGGCTGTGGTTTTTGCGGACCTCAAAGCGTTACGTCTCAGGTGACTAGTGTAGTAGCTAAGTGTTGGTGATCTCGGTAGGCAAGAGTCAGTGGCAAGCACTGTGGCGTGCTTGGAGAGGCCATGTCTAAGGCTTCAACGAGCTCGGTGGACAGACGCGAACCAGATGTGGGAGTTTCCACATTGCAGGACAAACCCGTGCCATGATCTTTGTAAGAGTTCCTAGTGCTATGTTTGTGCATGAATTTGCGGCTAGGGCCTAGGGGTGTAACAAAAACTACAACAATTTGTTGCTTGTTTCGATGGGTGCTTGAGAGCTCTACGTTGTTGATGTATGCATACGACCAATTCTATTTTACCGCAGCAGAACCAACATGACATCAAAGGAGTGCTACTGGGGTGGGCTGCTTTCTGCATATACATTGAGTTCAACTCAACATTATTGAGACACATGTCAGGGAGTCTAAACTGCAAATCGGCAGCAAAGTCAGCGCGTTTTATGAAAGTCTTCAAGACAAACAAATGCACAGATCGCTCAGCAAGAGCAACTTCGTGCAGAACATACCTTTGGTGACTGGAGACAATTTGGTAGGGTATGAACCGAACCTTTGCATGTGTGGGCCAACGCGCACGGACACACACATTGGGTTTGCCCTATTACCTGCAACAGTCAGTAAACAATTATCGCTATTATTGAACAAGGCCTTTAGTAACCATCATCATCCACGGTTACTGCTAATAGGATAGGCCCAACATATACATACAAATGGTTAAACATAATATATAGAGCTCTTTCTTACGATTTCCTGGAGTCGCCCCCAGCGAAAGCAATGGAGTTAACGGAAGCAATGATTAGGTCGACAGTTTGTTGGGTTCGTGCGAGAGTGTCAGAACAATCAATGATTGAAAGATGCTCATTTGACTGAGACAATTGACGTGAGGATGACAAGTCCATTGAGGGAATTATTGCCCGAAGCCGTCAGAAAGATTTGATTGAGAGGGCGGGAAGCTTGGGCCAGAAGCTTGCGAGGAGTGAACAGAAAACGTATGTCAACCTTGGTTCCGATGTTTGTTTCCTGGTTTTCAGTTTCAAACTATACTATAGATAGACTTCGCGAGGTTGGCCCTCAAGCAGTCCGATACCTGCCAACGGAGGATCCGAACGTGGCATCCTGTGCTATGCATTTGAGGAGGGCTTGTAGGCACTGTAGCAGGCAGGCTGGAAGGTGGATTTTACACATTGGCATCATTAGTCTTGTTGTGACCTGGCTATGAGGTAGTAGTACGAATGAGGAAGATGGCATTGTGTGGGCACAAGATCCACAGATCCGAGGCTTTGCTTTTGCCAGACAGCAGGAACAGGCCTGAGTTAGGAGAGGTACGTTTTGTGAAAGCTATTGCTAGGTCAACTTCTCCTTCCTCCCAGCAGGGTGAAGCCAAGGTTGGAACCATCCGAGCGTCGATGGCAGAAGGTCTTTGTAGCGCTTCCGTGGGTAGCCTTCGCTTGCATGGCCTGGGACTGAGACGGCAACCGCCATTGATAGGGCCGCATGGTGGAAGAAGATTCTGCAAACCCAATGCCGCAACTAAAATAGATTGCGATTGGTACCCTCCGCTCGTGCGCACCTAGCTTGTGGCGCCTCTTTTGCTGGTCTATGGAAACTTGCCCTTCTTGCAGCAGCGAGCTGAGCAGCAACGCCAGGTTGGCACCTGTACGTGTGATGAGTGGACTTTGAATGACTGATAGGTTTGCAGCAATGGCAGGTGTTGACTACTGAATGCTGATCCTATTGGAGAAGACTTTGTTGAACCTTCGGACCAGTAGGGAGTCCGCGCAGCAAGCCAGAAAAACCTGGGGCCTCTAGCCAAAAGTCGGCCGTTGGCTTGCAATGCTTTTCTTGGAGATTTGGTAGTTGCACCCCTTGTTGCACCATTCCTGTTGTACCCCTTGAAGCTACTAGGAAACAAGTGCATCGCTACTAGTAACAAGGGCCTTACTAGTAGTAACAATAAGCTACTAGAATCAAATGCGTTACTAGTAGTAACAAGTGCCTTACTACTAGTAACAATAAGAATTTCATTAGAATTGTAATTACATATAAAACTACTAATTGCATGTTGCACCCCCTTGAAGCTCTCAAATTATATAAAGTCGCATGGCTTGTGGCCCCACTCTTTTGGCTTCGCGACTTCATAGTTTCCGCTCTCCCAATGATGGGGTCTGCCAGGCAACTCGGCGCCCAACAGAAGTGAAGGCGGGCTCAATTGACTGAGGCAAAGACCTGCATCTGAAGATGGGTGTGTTTGTGTGTGAGTATGATGCACTTGGTTTTGTGAAGCACATTGAAGAATGCGGAGGGTTATGGCATGGCATTGTTTGGCTTGTAATGTTCAATTATCGATAATCTTATGTGGGTAGACACCACTTATCATAGATGGACTGGAATGCTTGCAAATAGCGTGGGCATAGCGGCATACCTTCTTTAGTTTGTGTGGTTCCTGAACTGGTGCCAGGTTGCCAGTTTTCAGCTAGTGAATTTTGGCCAAATGTCAGTGCCTCACATTGATGAGATGGGTTGGCTGCATTGGAGACGGCCATTGGTTTGTGAGGCCTGATGTCCTTGAACGGCCCTTCCCGACCATGCTGCTGCTTTTTCACCCTGCTTGGCGCCTCAGCAGTGTGACTCCTGTCGAATCTGCACGTATTCGACTTCAGGCAACCTATGCTTCCAAGGCCCGGTGCCCGAGAAACATGTCGGATGGAAGGCACGCTGCAAAAAGTGCTCAGGTATGAGTATCACATGGTTCTCTATTGCTCGAGTCGGTGGATGGGTGTGGTTTTGGAAGTGCTACGCTGCTACATATATATATATATATATACTGTAGTAAGAAGGGTTATAGAGACTTACAGAGTTTGGCAGCTTGAGGTCTTCTTGCCTGCTCTGCAAGAGCTGGACCGCCGGAATGCACAGGGAGTGGGCTGAGTCGTTGCTTGTTCTTTGCGAATCGCAGATGTTTTGCATCCAAAGTCTCAGTTCAACATGACTTTGGGCCAGTGGACTTTGTCAATCTCTGACACTATTGATTCTCTTAAGAACGTTTCGCAGTGTTGCCACTGACTTGTCTCAAGTGTTTTTGCACCACCTTGACACACACTGTAGCCCGAGATATGCTTGTGAGGTGTGTTCAGATCAGTGCAGCTGCCGGTGAGTGTGGCAGCGCTGGACCTCACAGCATCGTTTGGACCTTGGAGCCCTTGGTGCTTCAGAGATTGGAGTTTGTGCCGTTGCCAGCAACCAAGCAGCTCGTTGCTTCGCCAAACGGCTTTGCTGTGAGGGGTTCTGAGTTCTTGCATAGACACGATCATGGGCTGAGATGATTTCGGGCCTTTCTCTCCATTTGTCTCCTTTGTCTACCATGGCTCTTCTTGGATGATGGGCTGAGATGACTCCCTTTGTCCCCTTCGTATCCTACGGCTCAAAACTGGCGGCAAAAACATTCAAGATTCGCCAACAAAAAGGAAGATCAAGCTGCTGCTGGTTTGGGGTTGATGCTGGTGTGATATTTTTCACGTGCTTAGGCCAGCTCCTCCAGAGTCCTTTTTGAGAGAATATCCATCGGCCTGCAGTCCCAGTTGCTCTACTGACATCAAACGGCCTAAGGGAGAATGAAGCTGGTGGGAAGAATGGAATGAATCAGCTTGTGGACTTCAGTTGGCCCACTCAATCAGGAAGGATATCAGAACTGTGGCAACTGTGGATCCTTGCGGCCATTGAGGCAGTGGCCCCACATTTGCAGCTGATCCTACCACGCTCCATGGATGGGGAGGCCACAAAATTGGGCGAAGCACGTCTGCTGCGAAAGAATCCTCACACACCTGTGCTGGACGATTATAAATCTATATATATATATACACACACTGTATATGTGACAGACTTTCGTTATCAATCTCTTTAAATCTCTGGCGGAAGGCTGGTGTAGTTGACTACGATGGCATGTGGAGCTCTCGTGCGTTAAGCACAGCAGCTTGCCGTGGGGTGTCCTATGTGAGGTGAAGCAGGGCGTCGTTAGTTGGTGTTTCGTAGGGTTCTTTGCGTTCTTTCTCTCAGTAGCTTTTTCTAGCAGCTACCTCTTGCTTCACTGAGCTTCCACACCGAGTGAAAAAAGACGGGTTGTGGATTTCGGATTGTGCCAGAAATCTACTGTAGTTGTGTTGAGGCCTGGCTGGCCCTGCAGCCGAAATACCTGTGGAGGATTGTTGTTTTCGGCACTGCTGGAGCTGACAGCTATCTATTGAATCTATTGGACCAAGTTTCATACTTCACGCAGAGCTGCAGTAAGAAAGAAGAAACACTGATTCAAACGTGGCAGCTGTTGCAGGAGATTGAAGCATTGGAACTGAAGATCCAACGTTTGCGGAATTTGCTCTTCGAGTTGCTCTTCTTGGAGGTGCTTGTTGACGGGGTTGTTTGTGTGTTGTCATGGCCCATGGCTGCCCTTGCAGGAACTGAAGCCCGAGCAGGTGCTTTGCCTGGAAGTTTCTCTGAATTCTTGGAGTTTCTTTGTCAAATACTTTCTGAATATTGCATTTTTTGTGTGTTCGTGTAATATGATCGGGGGCTCATACTTGTGCACAGGCCTCCAGATTCCAGCGCTGGTTCGGCAGACAGGTGCTGCAAGCTAGCAACCAATTTATCAAAGCTTAAGGTTGACCCTCCGAAAGCACCTTTTACGACGAGGACAGAGCAGCCAGAGAATGCCGTCGCCAGCAGGCCAGTCAATGCGGCAAGTTTCTTCGCTAGCGATCAAGTGTGGATAGAAAGTAGAAGGGCGAAGGAGCGAGAGACATGATGGAGAGATTGAGGCGCGGCGTTTCCCATGTCAAGATGGTTTGGAAAGCTTGCAGGTGGTAAAGGAGGTGGAGCAGAGCATCGACATCTACAGTGGTCACTTGGCTTTCTTAGCAGGCTGGGCTCAGCTCAGAATGAGGAACTCTCCATATGTGCTTGCTTCAAGCCCACTGCGTTGAACAGCGTGCCCTAACAGCGACAGTCACATGACAGACTATTAGACTTCATGGTTTTCTTGTGCCATGGGTCATGGATTGGGCACTTTGGCAGCCTTCGGCTGCGGCTGCACTTCTGGTGCCCTAGTGGGCATCGGGAACCTAAAGCGTCACTACGAGGACGGGCCTGGCTTTGTTGCTTTTGTGCTGTGGGAGGCATGGTGAAGAAGACACATGGACTAAGAAGCATGGTGTGCCGTGATGTGCCTCAATAACGGACAATAATGGCCGCTGGTGCAAAAAGAACTACCCCTGTTGGGAGGCAAGGCTGGTCAGGGATGTCAGGGCAAGCTCTGCGGCCGCAGCCACCCCGTTCATTGTGGAGGAGGAGCCGAGGGGAGCATCAAAAGGGGGGCTTAGCACATGAATGGTATGAATCAAATTATTCCTTGCAGATCAAAATAACTAACTAACTAACTGACTGACTGACTGACTGACTGACTGACTAACTAAATACATAATTAGTAAGATATATATATATATAGCTTTTAATTGTTCAGCCAACTCTGTCTCGTCAGATTCTTCCAGGAGTCCCAATGGTTGCACAGTCTGCTGACTATCCTGTGGCCGCGCATCGACAAATTCCTCAAAGAGCCTGAGACCCGCATTGATTGCAAACTACTGTAGCCTAGTCCGGATGGATTCCGTGGCAGCTGGCGAGGGTGGTGGTGAGAATTCAGTTCTGAGGAGTTGGTGCAGCAGGAGATCCTTCCACAGATTGACAAAGAGCTGCCACAGATGTTCAAGGGAAGTGTGAGCTTTCCCAAGGTGTCTGGAGTCGGGGGTGTCCAGTATTTCACCAAGCCACAGAGCCATGCCTTCGCCCCGGCAGGTTGACCTTGGACATGCCGTCCCACGATTCCGGAACATTTCCCTGAAGGAACAAAGTAACCAAGCAACTTGGATGGCAGGGTGTTCACCAGTTTCTTTTGACTTGCGGTTGCTCTTGGTGACACGGACATGTGGGACTCGGGCAGTGTCGCTCGTTTTGGAGGATGGTTGGTCGTCTTGTTTCGCAGCTTCGATTGGCGGTCATTTCCTTTCAGAATGGGTGCTCCGGGTTTTCGTGCAAAACATGTGTAAAAACACTGTTTGGGCTGAAGCATTACAATGAAAGCCAGGTTTCGAGCTATTTTTTGCTTCAATTTGTTCAGACCAGGCCTACAAAGGTTTAGAGGGAATACCAATACAAAAAACACAAACTGTTTGAGACGAAATGAAGGCAAAACCAAGAAACATAAAAGAAATCCAAATCCTATAGTACCCTCATTTTGCCTCAAGCATTCTTATATATATATATACTGGATTCTAATGACTAAGGAGTTAACGGAGGTACGTCAAAA